GGCAATTCCAACTCCTAGCGGCTCAAGATAGCATTTCTGAGCTTGCAAAGAATTGCAGAAGCAGACAGCTTCAGCTGCTCCCCGTGAGGGGCTGATGAGTTTGAACTACCAGGCTTTTGACGAGCACTCCAGCACCTGACCCACAGAGCAGAGAGATCAGAGAGCTGTGGGGAAATCGACGGCAGGAATGATCACGCCAGATCACAGGGTGGGAGATGACTACATCATTGCATGCTGCCCCCAAAACACCACTGTGTAACCGCCAAGACACATCACTACCCTGCTGACAAACCACTCAGACTCCTGTGCCAGCCTCACTGACACACACCTACCCTTCTTCACCCCAGTCACCATCACTCTCGCCTCACACCTGGCGATTGAAGACACCATCGCTTGGGACGGGCGTGCACGTGCTAGTCACCAACATGAGCGATCCACCTTTTTCAACACCTCAAACGAGTCTTGTGGCGCGGATGAGCCCAATGCGGTCTATCGTCTGATTTCCTGACTTCCACAGGACTGATGGTGGCGCCGAGGGAAAAAACAAATGAACAACAGCAACAAACCCTTGACAACATCCAGGTTTCCTCTTGGTGTGATGTCGTTGAGTGATCTGGTGGTGAGGATGGTATGACCTGCGCTGGTCAGAGCCTTTGATCTTCCTTGGAAGTGAGTCAGGCCCTCCTGGCATTCAGCAAGCTCAGTGGTGTCTTGCTTGTCGCAGGCTGCGGTTGAGCGTTCCTCCAATCTGGATGCATCCCGGTGGCATCTTGCTGTGCGCCTTTCCATCCAATCCATGCAGATGCCTGTTTATGTGCTCAGTATACAGTTTTCATAAGTGGGGGTAACGGGTCCAATCCTGATGCACAACTTCCGGGTCTGAAACCACAAGGCAGCTCCTGGTTCTGCTGGAACGACTGCCTCTAGGCCTAGGTTCTGGTTCTGCACAAGGGCATGCGGTGTCCCGGAATTCCCACTCTTCCCCATGGTGTCCAGAATGTGGCATGGTCTTCATGTTCAAGCTCGCAAATCGCCAGTAAAGCGTAAGTGCGCGTCTCTCTGGTATTCTCTGCTGTCAGCCAAGGCCTGTCTGCTGTCCGCAAAGACGGTCTTCCTTCCAGCTCTTCTTTGGAAGTCAGCTTGGGTCTTTGGCAGCACCGCACTCCTGCGACTGCGTTGGAGGGTCTGCAGCGAACACTGACTTGCATGTGGCAATAGTGATGTCGCTCGATACCTTCCACATTGTCTTGTCACTCTTCTTTCAGGTGGTCCTCTCTGTGAACACCTCCAGTTGGTCGGCCAGGTGACTGCCTTTCAAATGTCTTGGCATAGACTACTGCGTTTTTCCACTGCTGAATCAGTTTGTCGAAACACTTCAGTTGGTACCCAGTCCATTCCTGGAGCCTCGAGTGGGGCACTGATTTCTTCCTTCGAGACCACTGGCTCTTGATCATTTGCTACCTCCTGAAATGATTGGATACCAATCCATCCTTTTTTAATACAGCTACTCTGTGTATTCATTCTATCTTCTTTGGATGCGTCCAGGGCCGGTCGACTATTGTCCCACACAACCCTGCAATACTGCAACTTAGTGTTTGCATTCTCCTCAGTTGGTCCAGCCTGGGCAGCGCCCAGCGTGTCCTTCCTTTCTGGTTGTCTAACTCTTGGTCTCTGCGCATGACCTTAAAATGTTCTCCATTGTCTCTTTGAGTCCCTTTAAAACTATTCGGCTCAACTCTCCTATGCTGTCAACTCCTCCTTTGCTTTAGCTAGTCTGCGTTCAAGAGCAGGCTCAATGTCTCTTCTGATAGCCCCTTGGGCCTTTCCATTCTTTATTGCCTTTTTAATGAACTTCCCTTTTCTTCTTGTGTGGTATTCTTGGTTGCTGGTGTTATTTTTTTTTTTCTCTTGCTCAAAAACATGTTGCCCATTGTGTTCTTTTATTATTATTATTACTTATTAAAGACTTTTATTGGGGGTGCTTACATCTCTTATCACAATCCATACATTCCTCCATTGTTGCTGGTGTTCTTATTGCTAGGTGCCAGTGAGCCGGTTCTGACTCTGAGAAATCCCATGGACAATGGAATAAAGCACTGCCCATCCCCATGCCATCCACAAAACTGCTCTGTTGGAGCCTACTGTTCAAGCGACTGTGCCAGGACATGTCCTGCGGTGGTCTTCTTCTTTTTTCAGTTGGTCAACCATGATGACCTTTTCCAGGCTGGTCTCCCCTGACAGCCTGTCCAAAGGATGTGAGACAAATTCTCGCCATCTTTCTTCTGTCCGTACCTCTTCAAAGACACACTGGTTTGTTGTTCTGGCCATCCACGGTCCTCCCAAGTACTATTTGAGAATGCCACAATCCAAATGCACCAGCTCTTCAGTTTTCTGTCTTCACTGTCCAATGTTCACAGGCATACGCAGCATTGGAAATACTATCACTTGGGCCAGGTGCACCGTAGACCTGAAAGGGACATCGCTGCCTTTCAACACTTTCAACAAGTCTTATGCAGCAGACATGCCCAATGTGTACTTCGTTCTGTCTCTTGACTGCTGCGCTTCCGTGAGCACCGATTGTGGATGAAGTCCCTGGCATCTTGGTGTCTGCCCTCCGTCGGTCTTTCTAGTAGGATGTCACAATTACCCTGTCACCAACAACACTGCCCTTCAGAGGGGCTCTCCAAATGTCCGTTTTGATGACAAATGTTATGCCAGTCTCCTCCATCTTGTCACGTGTGCCCATGTAAACCGTATGCCTGTCTGATTCAACGTGGCGACTATCAGTCTGTATTAGGCTGGCTTGAATAGAGAAACAAATCCAGAGACACTCATATAAGTTTAAGGAATAGTTCTATATCAAGAAGTAATTACATATCACAAAAACTTTACAGCCCAATCCAACTCAACTCTGTAAGTCCAATACTAGTCCACAAGTCCCTCTTCAGACTCACGCAGCCACATGCAATGATGCAAACTGCAGGAAGATCCCAAGCTGCTGGGTGAAGTCTTCTGCATCCAATGGTGGTGGAAGCATCACAGAGCTCTGGCAGGTCCCAGAGAGGCTCGCCATCAGGAAGGTGGAGAGAGAGAGAGGACTGGGTCTCCAGAGAGCCATTTATCTGCATCTCACCTCCAAAGGAGGTCTTCAAGCTGCAACCTGATGGACAGGCTAAACTCCACTCATATCTTCTTTTTTTTTTTTTCACTCATGTCTTCTTACAGGTGTCATGTTGGCACCAAAAAAAACCAAAAAACACCCTAACAAGCACACATCCCATTTCAGCTCACTCATGGCCATGATATCAGTCTTCCTGTGTTCTATTTCATTTTTGACAACTTCCGGATTTCCCGGATTCAACACTTTTTACATTCCACATTCTGATTCTGGTGTTTGCATCTGGTTCCCATTTTGAGTCACACCCCGGCAGCAAATGAGGGCCCTGAAGGCTTTACTCTATCCACACATCGATAAAGTCAGCTCTTCTTAGTTTGACTTTGCTCCCTTCCAACTTGAGGGAGGGGGCGCATCGTCTAGCACTGTATCAATGCAGACAACATTCTGCTACTCTCTGTAACCGATCTTTCCCATAGATAGTCAGATCCTTCTTCCCAGTCTCTCGGAACATAGACACTCCACCAACACGTGTCCAATGATAATAGAGGTGACGTGGCTCCGGCATCAAAGCAACCTGCAAACCGTGACGACGGTCCTACAGAATGATTGACAGTGCCATGGTGGCATGTGACAATACCTCATAAGAATGTATCCAATGAATGTAAGCAGCATCCAGCTAGACTTTCAAGACCCCAAGTATCGTTCAGCAGAAAGCCATCCACAGTCTCAAATCTCAGTGCCTAACACGGAAGGAATGCACTGTAAATGTCTGCCATGCGAATGCAGTTGTACAATGTGTCCAGTTCTGCCCAGTCCTGTCAATACAATTGGCTCAGGGTATCATGTGAAATGACTTCCTCACTTGAACCCTGTGCACGCAGGACCTCATCGGGACAGCCTCATTTTTGCCCCCCAGACCCCCAGGGTTCCGCCTTTGACAGGGTGCTGTCTTACCATTTTCTCTAGTGCTGCTTTTGGTGGAAAACACCTGCGTTTTCCTACCTTCCTTCTGCCTCCCACAGGTTCTGGCCTTCATAGGCTTTGCCTCACCTGCCCTTTGACACCACAACAAAAACCAAGTGCCAGTTAATTGAACATCTTGTCTTATTTTAAATGCCTGTACATGCGCCTTTGGCTGGTGGGCTGTGCTCTGAGGAAATTAAACTGGGAACCCAGGCTCCCCTCTCTGACGTCAGACCTGGAAACGCACTGCCACTGAGTCAGTGCTGACTCACAGCAACTCACAGTGGGGTTCCAAGACTAAAGCTGTGGGTGGGTGTAGAAGGCCCTGTCTTTCTCCCACGGGGCTGCGGGTGGTTTCAAGCTGCACGCCCTGTGGATTGGAGTCCAGCGTGTAACCACTACAGCACCAGGGCTCCTGAGGATCATGTCCTAGAAAGGACACCCAAAGAGCTCGAAGCTCTGAGTGGCTCTGAGCCAAGAACACGGAGCTCAAGGGTCTGCACGTGGGAATCCCACGTGTCTTCCGCATCATCTTCGGACGCCTTGGAACTTGCTCAGAGCATGCTCAACTTCTGTCCCCTTGTGACCCTTCCACAGGTTCAGTGTAGGAAGGGGCTCTGAATCTCCACTGTGGACACCCATCCCTGGTCGCTGAAATCCTGTTGGACCCAACAGAAAAGTCCACAGTCTTGGTAATCCCAAGACAAAGACAAAGGGATCGGAGCGTCGTAGGCCTGCCCACCGACACACAGGTGAAGTGTGCTGGGTGGTCACGACAAAATGTGGGGACACAAGACAAAATGCCTTTAAAGCCCTCAGGGATGACACGTCTCCCCAATCGCTGCGAGCAGAGATCGTCCCTTCTGAAGCACGTACATTTTCTTATCTAGAGCACCAAAATCTAAGTTTAGATACTTACATTATTGCACTCTCCAAGGAAATACAGTGCAAATCCATCAGCTTTTGTGGCTGCCAAAGTAATAAAAAAAAAAAAAAAGGAAGAAACTAATCTCAATGGGAGAAGATACCGTGCATGCAATCTCTAAGACGAGTCCTCGGACACGCGTGTCTTTGGAAGGCATGGGTTCACACGGTCCTGGGCCAGGCAGCAAACAGACAAGATCAGTCCCATCAGCGCGACATTTCCACACAGCCCTCCTTGGGGAGTCCAAGCCCCATTGCATCAGCAGCCAATGGATTAGTGAACAACCCATCTTTTAAAGACTGGAGACTTGCCTTCAGTCTCTAAAGTATGAAACATGTCAAAGGGGCCTTTCCTATTTAAGAACCCACAGAAACACCAACTAGAACATGTAATGTATACCGTTCCATATCCTCACTGAGAGAAAAGGATGGAAGGCATCTGACATTGCTTCCAGGTTGCCTGGAAGGTAATCATGGTGGCAATTCACAGATTAAGTCTTAGGGGGATTCTCTGATTTTAAAACCTTGCTGGTGGCCTTTTTAAGGGGTGTCCTGTTTATGGGGCCATGGTGTACCAGAATGTACCGGACACATTCCTAGTCATCTTTTGCGTCCTTGGTAAGATGGACAGTCTTTCTCTGCTATAGCTCCCTCATCAGTAAAACCATGATGTTAACAGTCCCTACTCAGAGAGTTGCAATGGGAAGAAGTGAGTTAATTACATGTCATGTGTGTAGAAACTGTGTTTGCCAAAGAGCCGAGTATGTATTTAACTTACTGGCATTTGTGACATGAGTACCTTCAATTTTTTTTTAGCGATCAAATTGCCATAGCAGATATGCGTCTAAAGCACGGTTTTTATTGCTTTCCTCTCTCTTTTGCAATGAGGGTTTTCTGCATTTCGTGTTATTGTCATTGCTGCTTTCTGCTTTATTGCTGTGTGCCTTTGTTTTCTTTGTCTTCTTGTCAACCTAGAGTGTCAGCAACTAGGTCAGCAAGTCCTGCGGTTACAACAGGGGAAGTTGAGGGGACAGGAGATGCTGAGAACTGTGGACCAGGAGGAAGAAATGTTCCCAAGCAGTGGGGCAATGACTGCAGAGCCTTCATGGATGTATTTGAGCCACTCATGTGCGTGATGTGGGAACGCTATGTCAATAAACTGGTTAGAGAAACGGTGCCTTAGTGGATCACCGTCCTCTAACATAACTTGCCCCTCATCAATTCACAATAGCTATCATTCATGTTGAACCTATTGTCTAGGGCTATCATCTCACCAACTACATTTAGTGAATGTCTTTGTAAACATGTGGTTCTGTCCAATAAAACTAGACTTTTAAAAGAAGGCAGGTACTGGTTAGATTCTACACCTGCATCATGCAGAGATATTTGGGATTAGGGCATTTAGGAATGTTGGGGTTGACTCCCTCAGCCAGCATCACAAAGACACAGTCTCTCTCTCATGGGAATTGAGCCACAGCAGTCAACAGATCACATGCACTTGCCAGGCTTTACCGTGGGGTACAAGAACCTTTGCTTGACTTGTTGCACTAAAAGGGACACGGGGCATCGCTTACCTATTTTGATGATGGTACTCAGCTCATAGAGGAGCAGCTGGTTGTCCCCTCCTGCATCCAACCGCTGTTCTATGTAGCTGTTGAGTTCATACACAACTCCCTGCATGTTCGTATCTTGGTACTTTGAATACAAAACAAGAGGAAGGCACGTGGTTAAGTATAATCAAGTGCAATACAATAAAAAACCACTTCGTTTACGAAGGATACCATCAATACGTATGAATGTATGCACTGGCAGCGCATTACAGCTTTATCGAGCATGGTTTAAGTATGAGAGCCTGTGGCAGGAAACAAATGGACGGAATCTTAGAATGCCTGCCAGTTATTGGCACAGGAGCCGTCAGTGCAGCATCCATCGATGCAATGGAAGTGGGTGCTGGTGACGAACACTGAAAGGACTGGCGTGCCACAGGAAGGACAGCCAGGATGCTCCTTGGATGGGGAGACTGTCCCCAGTGCCTTGGGTGTGTTATAAGGAGAGCCCAGTCCCTGGAAAAGGAGAGCATGCTGGGTAAAGTAGAAGGGCAGGGGAAAGAGGAGGACCCTTAAGGCAATGGGCTGACACAGTGGCAAGAGCAATGGGCTCAAACAAAGGACGGGTTGGGAGGACTGGCACAGTCGGGCCTGAGTGCCCTTCTGTTAGACATTTTGAGTTGGAACCAACTCAACAGCCTGTAACAACAACCGCGTGTATCTCCAAACACCAAAACTCTGCACATGACAAGTCAGCTTGATGGACGGTACCCGGGTAACTTGATCGAGAGGGACAGCACAAACGTCTGCTAACAGACTGAAACGCCGGAAGGTGCTGCAGAGACAACAGGACCCATCACAAGGGGGAAGGCTGAGCTGCTCAGTGAGTCACTGCCATCCATTTGTCTCTGCTACTCCCTCCCAGATGCGAGGCTCAGCGCTACCCAGAGAGCCTGGGCCACAGCTGCAGCATGAGGGTGAGGGCTGCTGCTCTGGGCTTGCTCATGCTTCAGTGAGAACATCAGGGAGTAGGTGTGTGAAGAAGGAACAAGCTAGGTCTTCACTACCTCCCTAGTTCAAAACAACCATCCTGTCTTTTCTGAATCCCTGAAACAGCCTCTTCTAGCCCATCTCCCCAAACAAGCCCTCCTCCCTCTAGCTATTCTCCAAGCAACCCAAAATGGCAAACCCACCAAACAATAAACATAGACATTTCTAAAACAAAAGGAGATCTGGTCACTCGCCTCCTTCCTTCCCTCCCTCCCTCTCCAGTCCACAGGGATCCATACAAGTTCAAACTGACAGGACTGACAGCACAGGACAATGACACTTGTTGGTTTTTCCCCTATTATTTTATACTGTGTATCGTACAAATAAAATAATTGTGATATATAGCTATATAAAACAGTTATTTTATTGTGAATTAGGTGGGGGGAGGGTATCGTACAAATAAAATAATTCTGAAATATCTATCTATAGAACAGTTATTTTATTGTGAATAGGTGAGGGGAGGGTCTATGGTAGTTATTTAATTTCACATCAGCTTGAAGATAGGTAAAAGTGCAGGGTGGTATTCGACCCGTCAACCAGGTCAGAGCCTGTTGGTGCTTCCTTGTGGGCGTGGCCTTCTCATAAGGAGGTCCCTGGGAACCTCCCTCTCTTCCTGCCTCACCTTCCTGCTGGCTGACCCTGGTTGCTGCCAGAGCCCTGCAGATGCGTCCACTGTCATTGGATCCACAAGACTTTGCAGCCTGTGGTCTTCCTGCATGCTGCATCATTGCATGTGGCTGCGTGAGTCTGAAGAGGGACTTGTGGACTAGAATTGGACTTAGGACTTGCGTTGGACTGAGCTGGGATGTTTGCTTGATATAAAGCTGTTCCTTATACATATGTGAGTGTTGCTGGATTTGTTTCTATAGTGAACCTGGCAGGTTCAGATCATCAGTTTTGTATTGAGTAGTTTAAACTGCTTATCAAACCAAACCCCCATTAGCTGCTTCTCCCCCCACCTTTGATTCCTCTCTTCTTTCTCTCTGATAACTACCTTCTGCCCTCACCCATGCCAACCTTCTGGTCTACCGTTTCATACGGGGACTCCATGTCCCCTTGGGCATGGAGTCTTCCTCTTGTTGCTGCCTTCCTTGGTGACCGTGGTCTCAGACAATATTTGTCCTTTAGTGATTGACTGATTTCACAGAACCCCTGAAAACCTGGCTCCACAAAGCCGTGGCCCCAGGGCAGGGGCAAATGCGGTCCAACTTGAAGCTGTAAACTACGTCAAGCTCCAACCAGCGAACCCCACTATGCTTCCCCTGGGATGCAGGACGTCCTGCATCACCATGACTCGTGTGAGGACATGTGGGGTGGAGTTATAGACCCAAGGGACAAGCCTTATCCAACCACAGGGGCCATTGTGACCCGAGAGGACAGAGGCAAGAAGTGGAACCGTATTAACCTTTGGCTCAGTGAGCAACTGGCCCACCAGTCTCGCTAAGAGGCGGCTAACTCATGTGTGCCGACTTGCTAACGGGGGCTCCAGGAATGACTAGACTGGAAGACCAGTTAGACCATTTGTTCTGAAGCCAGTTCAAGAGGGCTGGGGGGAAATCGGGGAGGCTTATGGCCCCAATCAACCCTGAAATTCCATGAGGCAGCTCTGACATCCCTGGGAGGCCAATAGAATGCAAGGGGGCTTCAATGAGTTCATGGTAAAACGGAGTTAAAGGGTAGCGATGGTTCTCTGGAAGGTCTGAAGTCCCTCATCCTTGAGAAAAGAGAGGTCACTCTGAAGGGTCCACGACTTCCCAGTGTTCAGGAACCGCTCCCAGCTTTCTTCAGCCCCAAATTCAGCATCTGGACACTATTTTGGATTCATTTTCTGTTCACTGTTCCTTAGATGTTTTCTTTAAAAAAAAACACAATTTTCTTTGTGTCCTTTGACACATAATTTCTAACTTACAAAAACCATCAAGAATCTCTCTGACTTCCCTTCCCACATTCACCTCCAATGAATTTGGGCTGATATGTTGCATGAACTACCTCCTGGAGACCTCCCTTCCTTCCCCCTATTAGTCAGTCTATGTGTACACACACACACACACACACACACACACACACACACACACACACACCAGGATGTTTTTTCCTGAATATTCAAGAGGCAGTCAGGGTGCCAACCCAAAAACCAAACTCACTGCCATCGAGTCAATTCTGACTCATCGTGAATGTCCAGGGCAGGGTAGAACCACCCCCTGAGGTTTCAGGACTATAACTCTTTATGGGAGCAGAGAGCCTCGTCCTTCTCCCAGGGAGCAGCTGGTGGTATCAAACCACTGACCTTGCAATTAGCAGCCCAACGAGTTGCCATTAGGCCACCAGGGCTCCTAGTCAGGGTGGCTGTCTACCTCTAAGTGCTCCGTGTGCCTTTCCTGGAAAACTGGCATCCCCAGACATCACAGCATGGTGATCGTCCTCTGAACTGTTAGCATTGCCACAGCAATATTCAGCTCATTAAAACCCCACCTTCAGATGCCATCCATGGCCCCAACAATGCCCCTGGGAGGTTTGTGATTGTCCCTTGGCCCGGGTTCAAGTCCCTGATCACCTATGACATTGAGCGGCCCTGCGCTTCATGATCCTTCCATCCAGAGAATTTCTCCAGCCTTTCTCTGATTTCCTGAACTTGATATTTTTAAAGAAATGGGCAGCTAGCTTTGGGGTTTTTTTTTTTCAGATGTTTCCTCAAGGGGCTACTCAGGATGTATTTTAAACAGCAGCCTGCTGAACGGATGACATTAGATCATCATCCCACCCTCCGGCCATCTCCTGGGGAGATGTTCTTTCCACTGCCCCCCATTCATTCACGGGGGCACGGGCTCACTAGATCGTGCTTCAAACACGGAGTTGCAGGCCGTCAGGGGGTGAAGTGAATTGCTTGCTGTGGCTCTTCTAGCCTCAGTCTTCGTAACCCCCTCCAAATGACTGGAGGGAAGTGTGCAAATTAGCAAGGAAAATTGTCACCTTGCAATGCCTTCGTGGGGCCATTCCACCAGGTCTAAAAAAGGAGCCACCTCAGGGGCAGAGAGAGAATCCCGAGACTAGCCAGCAAGGAGAGCCACCAGCAGCGCACATGTGAGATCCCTGCTTGAAGCGGTGGGGGCAGCAGAAGCACCAGAGGCTGAGGCACTGAGACCAGGAGACAGAGCAGAGGAGCAGCATGGAGACCACAGGGCAGTGCACTGGCCAAGCCTCCTGGGCCAAGGAAAGAGGCAAAGGTCAAGGAAATGCGGTGGAGAGGTTAAGGACCAAAGAGAGACAAGCCTGTCAGCATGGCTGGCAAGATGTGCTATGGACAACCTGACTGTCTCCTTAACACACAGTCATTTCTCAGCCTCCCTGATAACACCCAAAATTGTGAATGACGCCATGGGCTTGCTAATGGTCATTGTAAGGAATGAGCAAACCCACCAGAGAAGCAGAGCCTTGTGGGAGGGGCAGTTGGTGCTAGAATAGGATAGTCTACAGCCACCCCACCCTGAACGGCCGATCCGTCCAGAATAGGATAAAGAAGGACTGAGGGTAGAGATCATGTCTGATCTCTGCCTCACGGGAACCATCCGTGAGCAGCTGTGGAGTAGGATTCTCCTTCTCCTTGGTGTAGCCCCACCTGTCCCCCCATCATCCACCCTGTGATGTACTTTGATGCTCAAACTCTTTCAGATCTGGCTAGAGGCCATACTTTATGATGGGAATTTTCCTCTAGGATTTCCACAAAACCAAGCGCAAATGTCTGAGGCTATTTAAAGCGATTCATTAAGGAAAATGTCAACTGTGGTTGCAGGTGGCGTGTGGGAGTCTTCATTCAGGTGGGCTGGTTTCCCATCTGGGGGAGAAATCGGTTCGGGGGCTCCTCGATTTTTAAAATGTAAAGTTCAAGGCTGCACTTTACCGAGCTGGGGCATTAACCAATCTGCCCGTTTCTTCGGCCTCAAAAGCATACAGGCATTTTGATAGCTGACCGTCTAGGACAGCGATTCTCTCCAGATACACGTGCATGAGCATCATTTTGAAGTGCCCATAGCCTACTTCTTCCCAGCCAAATCCTAAGGAGAGGCACTCACTCATCCTGAGGGACAGTGGCCGACTGCT